CACAAGAACTCACCTCTCAAAATGCTAACCATTCTTGATCTTCAACCTCCCTCCCCACCCTTGGGTTTCCTCGAACTCGCCTCTGCACCAATCACATACCCTTACATTCAACTTCATCTTCGTACACCCTGACCTCCTCCAACCTCCTCCAACAATATCAGGAATCTCCATCACCACATCTTCATCGGGTTGCTTCTCTACTTCAATCAACACACGCGCAACAATAGAAACAATTCAGACACAGAGTTTTCATAAAAAAGAAGATTAAGAGGGCCACTTATATTAGAAAAAATATATACAGGAAGATCATAAACATACCTTTCCTACCTTAGAAAAAAGAAAAAAGAGAACTTGATAAAACTGTTCGGAGGAAGATAAACCCCAGTTCTTACTTCTTACAAAATCAGAGAGAACCACAACCCAAAATCGAAGCAGACAATGGAGTTACACGGCGATTCCACCGTCGCGTTCTTCACTTCCACTATCTTTCTTCTCTCCCCAACGACCTCGTTTCAATTCTGCGACAAACACCCTTAACCACCTTTCATCATCCATCGCATCAAACTGTAATCTGCGAAGCTCGTCACCTCATTACTATCGAATCGTTCTTCAATTTCCGACAACCACAATCTTCATCATCATCGTTGTGACCCAGTTCTTTGTTTCCTTGTGAGAATCGCTGAGAGTTGGCATTTGTTTATCGGTTTGGGCGGATTAGTTTGTGAATAAAAGAGAGAAAGAGATGTGTGAGAACAATCTAGCGTTCTAGGATCATACAGCGGCGACCATGGTACAACATTCCTAGGTTTTTTTTCACAGCATTGTGTTCTTTTTCCTGGGTCTGGGTCCTCCATGACCCGCTCCATTTCCCTCAACCAAGTTCAATTTCTTTTTTAACTTAAGCCCATTCTAATTGCTACTCCCACCCCATTTTTCTTTATAGGCTCTTTAGTTAAATTTTATTCATTTTCTTGGATAACTTATTTAATTTAGACTAATTAGTTTCCTAGAAATAAGCATATAGTTTTAATTAGACAATTTTTAATATTTTTCCCAAATCTTATTAGTTTAAGTTTTAATTTAGTTAATCAAAAATAAGAGATGTAACTTAAACATTTTTTTTTATAATTGACTAATTTTATTAATTTAAACCCTTAGGATTTAATTTAGTAATCTTAGTATTTTTTTTAAAATTAGACTTAAGTTAGTAGCATTAAGTTTTAATTTAATTTAATCATTAAAGTAATACTTTTATTTATATTTAAAAAAGACATAAAAATAGAAACTTAAAAGCTTAAAAAGAAAACATTTCTACTAATTCTCATTACTTTTTATCTATGTTAAAATGCGTAACCAATTAAAACATTTTTTTCTCTTCATATATTAAACAAAATCTAAAAATGCATGTTCACACTCAGTCTCTTATTTAATTTGTTGTATATCATTTATCTCATAATTTTCTGTTTAAATATCTCGCATTTACTTGATTATTCTGTCTGCGCCAATCCAAAGGGAATTGTCTAATTTTTGTTGACTTCATGTCCTCAAAAAAAACGATCGAGCGAATACTCTCATTCATTAAAAACTTAGGATAATTTTTCCTCAAATATTCACCCTTTTCAAAATTTGTGCCCCTTTGAGCAAAAACTTCGGCATTAGGTCGTCGCGACTTCAAAAAACCGTCCGTACCCCTTTTCGGCCAAAAACAATTTATTTTTAATAGAGCAATCATTTTAATAAACAGATATTTCAAAAGGTTCCTATAGAGTACTATAGATACATTGGGTGCTAATACCTTCCCATTGTATAACCAACCCCCGAACCATAAGATCTCTTTTCAAAAACGCCTTGTATTTTCATTACTTTCAAAAGTATTGTTTACATTGCATATTTAGGGTTTTATTTCGCTCTTTTCCCTTTTCCTTTGGAAACAATAAAGCGCGGTGGCGACTCTTGCTTTTGTGAGACGAATTAATCAATAATTCGATCTCCGATTTACCCCGCTACATTTTTTATCGCTACACCGAGTCTACGGCCATTCGCACGAGAAACAGGAAACAAGTGGACCTCGACCAAACACCGACCCCCAACGGCAGACGCGCATCAATCATGAACGATGCGAGCATAACATGAGTATCCCGGGCGAAGGATGAATCCCGCGACCAAGTTCATAATTTTGCTGGCCCGATACAAGAATACTACGGGGAAACTAGCCTACATACTAACGAAAGGATGAATCTCCCGACCAGGTTCATGAATCTACTAGCCAAACGCATGAGTGTCGTGGGCACAATCATGAACCGTATGCCTAAACTTATGAATATCTCGGGCACAACCATGAATCAGGCGCCTAGCGCGCTTAAATCTATCGGGCATAATCCCCAAACACAAGGTTCTACTACTAAAACGCCGTCAAATCTATCTACAACATAAGAAATCAAAGGGAGAAAACACTTACTTGGAAGAAGATTTGAAGAGCGACGGTGGTGGAAGTAATCAGACGGAAAACGGCGCGGCGGTCTCAGCGACGTTATGAAGACTCACGAGAGTGAAAATATGAGAAGCGTGAAGAGGTGAAACGAACTATGGGCCCTGGAGCCCTATTTATAGAGATGGCGTGGAATATGAAACGTCGCGTCAGAGAACCACGAACCGCCCCCGTCCTCGACGTCTACTCGCATAGACAATGATGGCCCTATTCTCTAGGGCGGCATTGTGGTTTCCAAGAGCTACACCACGTGTCCAACTGACACAATTGACGCATCCCCGCGAGCGCTCCTCGAACACTCCTCGACGGATGAAAATCCCTGCATCGCGTACGCGATCCTCGCGAAAGAGCGAACTGGAATCAAGTCATAACTCCTGTACCATGAGCAACGACTTAGGGGGCTCATGTTCTGGACTGGGCCTGCCCGTGACCCAATCATCAGTAAGGCCCAATCCAAGCCTTACAACGTGTTGTGCTGGGCACTAGATCCTCCGAGCACACCCGATCACGGGCGATAGGTCGAATACGACCATGCCCTCCGATTGCCTTGCTCGAGAACATCCCAATCCAAGCCTTGCTCGAGTACCCTCCTCGTAGGACAGACTTTCGACCCCTCCGGATGTCTCGGAGTCCTCAGGGCCCCGAGAAGATCACGTCTTCACCCTCCCTATTCTGCGGAGAGCATCATCCAAGTAGGAGACCACGTGCAGGTCCCCACTACTCACGTAGAACCTGGCAGTCCCTTTGTTGGGCCTGTTTGGTCAGCCCAATAAAGGGACCTTGGCCCAGTGCTGGGGGCTATAAATACCCTTTATTTCAAGAGGGTCATGTATTCATTCATTCACACCTTTATACTACTTACCTACTCATTCTGTCTCTCACTTTGTCATCAGAGTATCTTGCAGGTACCCCCATCTCCTTCAAATCCAGTTCAAAACCAACTGTGACGGTCCAATTCTGATAGATACGACCAATATCAAAATATCATTTCTCTTAATTTTTGACCCATCAAAACACTCCTTAAAATGAATATACTATCTTTTAATTTATATGACTCATCAAAACTTGGTACTGACTCTCATGATTCTCATACTTGGCAGAAAAGAATTCTACTAAATACTTACTAATGAGTCCCCAATTAAGTAAATCTTCAAACAAAAGATCCATAAAATCAAAGTTGAATGGATTATATTCTTAGATTTCAGTGAAAGTGAATGGATCATTTGTATCTTTTTTTTCTTTTCTTGTTTTTATGCCTTGTACATTGCCTGAATATCCTTTGCAATCTCTTCTATATGGAATCTTACTTTGTTGTTTAAATAAATGTTGAGGAAAACAATTAATTCCTAAAAATAAAATAAAGATACTCTGACAATTCCTAAAACACAAACCAAAATTTCTAACAAAATAGTTTGAATCGAACACTCATTGTCTCAAAGTCACTCATACTTTGTAGTAAAAAGTTTTTAATATTAATGAACCTTCAACTAAGTAAATCTCTAGACATAAGATCCTTAAAACAAATTATTTTAATCATTTTTAAATAAAATTATTTTTTAATTAAGGAAAAAGAATTGTGTTTTTGTCATAAAAAAAATTCTAAATAAACTTTTATTTTGAAACAAAAAAAAAAATCAAAATAATTGGGTTTTGAAACACCCCACACAAAAATAATCACATAAAGAGGCTGAGACCACAAAAAGATTCACCAAATAGGAGACAAGTGAGAAAAATATGTAAAGCATCACGCAGAAGAAACAAAAGAGAAACATGTTAACATGCCATGAAACCTTCAAATTTCAAATAAGGCTCCAATAACCAGACACATGCATATCACTATGTGTTCACTAAGTGAGTAAACACTATACCTTAGGATACCAAAGTTTCATATCTGAGGATACCTGCTACTACTAATGACCAACATGCATAATTTGTTTAGCTAACATTAATTAACCAAACTCAATTCACCATATTAGACCACAGTTGCTCTCCAAATTGGTGGTAGAGCTGTCATTAATAAAACATGGTTCACTTAACCACATTGTGTCACATGGTTGCATCTCTAGTACCTGTTTCTATAATATCGCCATAGGGGGAAAAATATTCTCATACCAGTGTAAGATATGACATCTAGAAACAACACAGATATCCTAATCACACTTTCATATATGAATGTATGATATAACCTATTTAAAATATAGGATATGTATGATATAAAATAAGTATGATAGAACCTATTTAAAGTATGGACTTTGGTTCAGAAATTTGACCAATGTTTAACCCAACCTAGAATCCCACAAAAAGTTGCTGAATTCATCGAAACACCCCTCAAACTGACAAATGCAGGCGTCTGTGACCTTAAAAATGTATTAATTACCAGTAAAATGATGCAATAAAAGGTAATAATAATATGAATTGATCACCGTTGTCAATGACCATGTTTCCAAAATTATTTGTCAGCTGAGAAGAATCCTCGTTCAGACGTAAGCTGTTTCCAAGAGCATAATTCAACTCATGGCTCCTCTGTACTTGGCAAGTCGGGAGGTAAATCATCAATCCAATCGCCATAAATACGGTTGATCTTGTTTAATTTCTTCCAAAGTAATTCCTTTTTGGCCTTCTTCTCCTCTTCCATCTCTTCCATTGCCGCAGGTACATTTGCTGGTAAGGTAGTAGGTGCATAATTGGCAGAAGAACCCGTTGTTGGTAAAGTTGGAATGACCACTTTTGTTGAATTTGCTATGGCAACTGCACCAGGAACTTGTAACTCTGAATAGCAAAACAACCAACACTTCAATTGTTATAATAATCTTTTAATTTTTGTTCACAATATGCATATACAAGTTATGACACGAAAACGAACAATATATAGAAAAAACATCAACGGCTAAGATTGATGCTAAGACTTTGAGGTTTTTGATGTCTCCGTCTTCGCAATTGCAGCTACATTAACCATATTTAACTGTAATATTTAGGATTGCAACATAGTTGCAATTTAAAACATGCAAATGAGCAATATATTGCCTCCAAATAAGTATAACATAGAACATGTTAACATATCAAAATTGAATCATAGAACAAATCAAGTAAAGTAAGATTAGTAGATAAGAATAAAATATTTACGTAAAAAGAAATAAGAATGTACAATATAATAGGGAAAATATAAACGTCAGAAAAAAAGAATGAGAAAAACTTTAATTTAAAATTATTTACTATACAAAACGACAAATGTGTTTTTATTTATTGGACCACGGCTACATACCAAAAGCACCCGTGTGTACCAAAGTGGAGGATCCAAAAAATCATTTGAAAATTAATCATATTACCTACTACTTGTGTAACCATGAGAAGGTGACGATCATCTAGTACGAGTATGACACCATAAAGTCACAAGGAGCAATAGTGTTGTCCATGGTGGAATATAAAAACACATTTACAAACTCTAAAAATCCACCATACAAACACGCCATTGCAGCCTATAGCAATGCCATGGCGGACATCCTTATAAACTGCTTATGGCGGTTGTCAAAATATCTTCCCCGCTGTTTATTGCTAGATAGCCACGTAGCGGAAGTTGAAAAAACCGCTATTGTTCTGCTATGCAATACACTGTTTATTACAAAATATTGTCAAATAGCCACTATAATGGCACTGTAGCACCATTGCATAGCAAAATTTTATCAATCTGCTATTGAAAATACTGGCCACACCATTCTGTCATGGCCATGCAAGTTTAGATAAAGCAATGCTATCAAAAGTGAATTGCGGCAAACAGCCAAAAATTAGTCAAATAAACATTAGCCGTGTAAACATTGTTTCGCGCCCTATGGTGGCAGACAACAAAATCTCCCGCGCCATGGCGCCGCAATAACAGAAATTTGACGACAAGGATAAAAAAGTAATCGCTAATCATATAAGTGTCCAATACTTTTAAACAGAAGCGGCATCAGTTATATAATCAAAATACCAAATGATCATCCAGAAGCAAAGGTGAAATCGGGTTCTATTTAATATGATCAACTAGCAAACTAAACATGAAAACATGATACACAACAAGGAAAGCAACACACATTCAGACACTGTAATTTGTACATGATATTGCAAAAAATGACTTTCTATTCATCATCACAAAAATAAAATAAAAAACAGATTTGGAACAAAACCAAAGAGTAGAATCATCATATGATAAAAAACCAAAACCAGTCCTATTACCTGCATCACCATGGGCAAAGTGACAGCCATCACCAAAGGGACAGCTCCCGGTATTGATCCACTTGAGACACATCTTAGTCTTCCAATAAGTGCCCCTTTCCTGCTTAGTTCCAGCCCTACTGCCTTCCAAATGATTAGAAGTTTCAATGTTGATTGCAGAGGACTCTCTTGTTTTCCAAGAGTCGTCCCTAAACTTGGCAAGATCCTCGTGAAGAAAGTTACACTTATCCCCATAAGGACATTCCTCCCCATTGCAATACTTCTTGCAAAGCTTCATCTTCTGAATGATTTTCTCATCATCATTCAAATTCCTGCCCACTTGCAGCCGTCCTTCAGTACGAGGACAGACAAGCTCCTGCCAGTTTGGCGGTGGCTGCCTTATCTCTCCAACCCCATGAGCAAAGGTACAACTTTCACCGTTTCTACATGTACCAAACCCGAACCTAGTACAAATACGGGTCTTGAAGAAAATGTTACCCGTTCCTCTGATTGTTGGAGGACCCATCCGTGCATTGGATTGCTTGTTGTCCCGAACACTTGTCCTTCTGAAGGAATGGGAACCATCGGACGCTGAATAGCTGCTGGACGATGAGAATAGCTGTGGTGACATTTTGAACGTTGGAATGTTGTCTGAATTACTCATGTCGGCTGATCAAATACAGTGAAATTTTGAGTTTTTCTGATTTGATTATCGTTGATCAATGGGATCAACGTTCAGATAAAGTTTGGAACTGAGTAGAAAACTAGTATGAAGAACGAAATGGTGACATGCAAAGGTTACAATGATCAAGGTTTGGATTTTTTGGGAATGAAAAACAAGAATGTTGGATGACCTAGACGAGAACTTTGGGAGAAAACATTATACGGTACGATGTTCAAGGTTTGGTTTTTCTGAGAGAATTTTGAGTGCCGTTTGTTTAAAAAGAGTGAGAAATGTATATATAGTGCGCAGTTTCAAAGTTTAAGGTTTTTTGTCGGGTTAACAAAAAAAAAGCCTAGTTGCTATCACAATCCTAATGGACTAATTGGATAAATTAACATACCCTCCTCTAAATTAAATATCCACTCCCTCAATTTTATTTTTATTTCAGTTTTAATTTTGATGAGATACAAATATTTTTCGGACGAAATTTTTAATAGAAGAAATGAAATTTATGGTATAAAATAAATTGTCGATGCACCCCTATCAAATTTTCAGTAAGAATAAATTCTCGGTAGTGCATTTGAAATTTTCGGTAAATCGAAAACTTTTAAATTTACGTGGCAGTATCGAAAATTTGAGTTATGCTGAAATTTCTGATAGGTTATACACTCAAGTTTTTTCAACGGTCGATGGCTCTGTAGACACACGAGTCGTGGTGTCCGTATCAATGGGGGACACCTTGCCAACGCGCTCAACCACAACCTCCTACTCCACAACCTGTTTAACCTCCGGCTCCACAACAGGAACAAGAATATGTACCTCCTCAATAACCTCTACAGTTGTCGACTCCATAACAGGAACAAAAATGTGTACCTTCGCAACATATGGCTCCACAACAGAAACAAAAGTATGCACCTCCACAGTAGTTGGCTCCACAATATGCTCCGCAGTTGGCTCCTCAGCAGTGAAAACTCTCAACCCCCGACGACGGGGTGCACGAAACTGAGCTTGTTGCTCAGCCATCCATTTCCGGTGAGAACCGGTCGGATAACATCGGCCAGCCCGTGGTTTGGAAGTCTATGCCTCATCAGCCTGTGCCTGAGCTTTCACTCTATCAGTCTATCTGTCTGCAACAATACCGTCTTTTCCCCTGGTCCTCACTGCAAAATAAGAAGGAAAAAAATTAGGAAAATATGAAATACCGAAAATTTCTAAATTTCTGATATTTTTAAAAAAAAATTAAACTACCGAAAATTTCAAAATTTCCAATTTCTTGTAAAGTCCCGATAATTTTGAATTTGAATAATTTGATATTTTCATATCATTTAGAAAGTGTCATGTATAAGAGTGAGTGACATATTAATTCCTCCACTAATTGCTAGTCATTGTCACTAATTAAACTACTAGGGGGTGCGGGTAAAATAAAATGAATGAGAAATGTTTATTTTACAAATGAGACAATATAATTAGAAAAATACTTATATAGGTACAAACTCAAATATAAATCATTTAGGGACACACTCATAAAATATATGTTATTTAGCTATTTCAAAAAAAAAACATTTTTCTGATAAGTGCAAATTGGAGTTATTTTTGTATATATTTTTTGTTGCACTTATCGACTCTTGGTTGTTAATATCAATTGAATAACTCAATTTTGTGTATAAATACGTTTAGTTTGTGTATAATGTGTTTTCTTATATAAAGTGTATCGTTTGATAGTTTTGTATTCATTTTGTAGGTATTTGAGCATTGTTGGAGCAAGAGGAATAAAGCTCCAAGATGCATTTTTGGATCAATACAGGAATAAGGCGAAAGATTGAAGCCAGAGGAAGTTATACAGGAAAGCAACAGAAGTTCTTGGACTGCCATAGATCACCGGGCGAAAAAGACCGTCGCTGGGCGAAATTTGAAGGGCCAAATTTCCTTGTTGCCTCTGTCTTGCTTCGCTTCTGTGTCACTGGACGAAAATAAGGAGAGTCGTCAGGCGATGAGTTGTGATCGTCGGACGATGAAAGATATTTGTTACAATTGAGGACGTGGCTTATCCTGAGCCAAGTGAATAAGAGACGTTGTCGGGCGACACTTTATGTCGTCGGACGGTTCTCGCAGAAAAGATTTTCTTTATATTTCCATTTCATTTCATTTTTGGAGGGATGGTTATGGGGGTGATTTTGTTCTCCCAACTCCATCAACCTCATTTTTATAGTGGATTAGCTTAGATAACAAAACTAGAGTTTTGCTCATGGATGATTGGAGGTGGATTTCTCATTAACTGACGCTGACAAACGAGAAGATTTGTGGTTTATTTCTTCTCATTTTTATGTATTTCTCTTTTGTTGAATTTTGTATGTATTTTACTTTGAACTGATGTATATTTGTCGCCCATGGCGTTATATAAAGCTTGCTTTACAAATCTTTGTCGATTGTTGTCCTAGATTTTTGCTTTGTGCTAGGGATTTGAGTTGTTATAGACATATACTACTTAGACTCTTATCTAGGATGATTATATGTTAGTTTCTGAGCTCTAGAGATAGATTTATAGCTGACATCTACTTGGGTATCAGAGCTTAATACCTCTGTGTGATTGTGTTGTGCTGAGAGATCGTCAGTGCGATTACATAGTTGTCTTCCGTGTTGTTGAGGAGGTAGAGAGATCATTTCCTTGGTGATACAGTCGGTCTCTCGATTTGGGTTATAAATGACTTAGGTTGTGAATGGTACGTAGTGACATTGATGAGTATTGTTAGGTTGAATGTAACTGATCGATAGATTTAAGTCTGTGATAAGTAGATTATATGCAAGCTTGATAAGTTCTTCTTTAGTTTTTTTCTTTTCTTTACATTTATTTTGTTGATAATTTTCTATACTATTTATCCTCAAACTCATTAACAAAGAATTTGTTAAATGGCGATTCAATAATCAATTTCTGTGGATACAATACAATATAATCTAAATATCACCCGATAAATTAATAACTTATTTTTTACTTGCCGCCTATACCGCTAGAACATTTTCTAAAAAAAATCCCATTCCTATGTTTCTAAATATACAACATAAAAGCCAATAAGATGATTCATTCCTCCTCAACCTTAATCTTCCCCTTCAAATTACTTTTACTAGTTGAGAAGTTCCTCCAAGAAGGACCAACTCTGCTGAGTTGCACTCACCCACACTTCTCTACCTTTAACCACACCTTCTGAACAAAATGAAAACTAAAAAACAAATGATCCAAGTCCTTATTATGATTGAAACGAAACATGTAGGCTTATTCTCTGATATGATCAATGATCCCCCTTATACATAACTAGTCTTTACTTGATAACCGATTGTGAAACACTCTCAAATGACTTAGTGATGATTGCTTTTCAAATTGATTAAGCTTTAGGCAATGGTCTCCACAAGTTTGAGCTCTCACACTAACCTATGTGTTACTGTGATAGAAAATTGAAGGGTTTCATCTTACTTTCTATAAAAAGTATTTTATTTCCTCTAAAAAACTAATATTCTTAAGGATTTTGATAAATGATTATAGGTTAATATGGTTCAAATTTCACCAAAATTTTATTTTAAAAGTGATTATAGGTTAATGTGGTTGGAATCCGTCATTTTATTTTGTATTCATGGAAGTTTGTCCAACATTATAATAAGATTGAGAGTGGTGAAGTTTATGGCACCAATAATACAACATATTCACAATTAATTATTAATTAAAAAAGATTTGAAAACATTTTTTAAGAGGAGGTTTTGTCAAACGTGTAGAATAATATCTGAGAATATACAAATAGTAAAATAATCAATTCTCTGTGTCACCTTTCAAAGCAGGAATATAATATCTCAAAATAAAATATTGGCATATAAGCCAGTAAAATAGATCCATAAATATAAAATTATTCAAAAAGAAATGAAATTATGTAAGATCTCTTCCCTTTATGCGTCACTCGGAGCATACAATGTCTCTACGACATAACAAACATTAAATACAAATAAATGTGAGAGTATGTGTTTTTGTATAAGCTCGTGAGTTGATCGCTGAAGTTAGTGATGTGATATCCACACTTGTTGAGTTGATCTTAAGTCATTTTATGTGTACTCTTTCTCCAAACGGTAGGTAACTACAAAGATACCTTGATGGCAAGGCTAGACATAGTGTGAGTATGTAGCAAATGAATGAGTTGGTAATTGAATGATCATACAGGGTATGAACTCCTTTTTTGTATAGGCGATGAACTCATTAGATACTTAATTTTGTTCTTACTTGAGCATATAATTGATTTCGTAATATGTTAAGAGTGACGAGCCACTAAAACTAAATGGTGATACAAATTTGATTTGAATAATGTGAGAAACATTATAATATATTTTATCTGCTAACGTGTTTATATTTTAGTATGAGGTTTGGATTTGTCTTTTTTATAACGTTCTTTTAACTCCAAATGTAATTCTCATAAATTTATGAATTAATTCAAATAAAATTACTATTTAAAGGTGTTATATTTCGTAGAAAATAATATAGGTTCAATTATGTTCCGTAACACGAGTTACATCAATTTAAAATATGTATTTGTTTATAATTCATCACATCATTTAGAAATATTGTTGAGAATCAAGTGTGAGGAAGAAGTCTCACATTGATTATAAAAGGGAAGATTGAGCACTTATATATGAGAGAACCCACTCATCTATCACCTTAAGGTTTTAGATGAACAAGTGGTGTGTCTCTCACAAAGGTGTGTCCCAAGTAAAATGCTATCTCCTCGGAATTGCCCCTACATTGGTATCATGAGCCTTTGGTTTCGAGATAGGGACCGGCTTACTTGTATCGAGCGATGGTACAAGTGTATGTGGAAGAGAGTCATTCCACATGAGGGGGAGCATTGTGACTCACACTTGAGGGGGAGTGTTGAGAATCAAGTGTGAGGAAGAAGTCCCACAGATTGAGCACTTATATATGAGAGAACCCACTCATCTATCACCTTAAGGTTTTAGATGACTCTCTT